ACAGAGGTATTGGTTCTCAGTTGTCTCCCTAAACTTTTTTATGCCGGTTTACTTGGTTTTATGTAGAAGTTGTCCTCAGAGCAGCACAGTCACTTAGCTAGTAGTCTGTAAATACCAAACATTCACTACTTGCATTGCATGCTTGGGTTTGCATTGTAAAGTATGTTTTACATGAGAAAGTCGCTGCACATGGATGCCGGATGCATGGGCTGTTGTTAGATGGGACAGGATTCCCATAGATGGGTTGTATTCCCATTTTGACCAGATCCTCAGAGAAGCAGTCTTTGAATGGCTCAGGTTGGTTCCAAACAGTCTAGAGTAAGCTAAGATGGGCACAGTGAAGAAATGAGGGGAACAAAAGGGAGATTAAGTAGCAAAGGTTGGCTTCAAAGGCTGCTTTAAATCAGATTAACAACAAACCGTTCTGCAGTTTAGCATCAGCTCCTTAGACTTTGTCGTGGAATGCCGTGCAACAGATGGACTAAACAACACATGAGTGCTGTGAGGGGAGTGAGCAAGAAGAGGAAAAGCAGAGTGCCATTTCCCCTTTTCAGAATAACTCTCACTGCATGCTTTTCATAGCATCATATCCCTCTCTGCTAGCAGTCGCTGTAGTTTTTGTGAAATGTCAGGTATTTTTAAACAAGGGTTGTTTGCTTTTGAAGGAGAAGGCTGGCAACTCGCTAGCCCATATCTGGATTGCAGAGGAAAACTGTGCTGCCTCCAAGGCTGAGTCTGTGCTGCTGGGGTGAGCATTCTCATGGGATGATTCCTAATAAAAAAAAAAAATGGAGTGAATTTAAAAAACTAAATAGAAGAATAATCAACAAGTACTGAATGAATTAATTGCTTGTTAGATTGGTCTCAGTTAATTAAAATTCCAGTAAAAGCTCAGAAAAAAATGACAGCTACTACCTGAAATTTGCAGGTGTGCCATGAAATGCCCAACGTGATATATTTCTGTGGCATACACAAAAAGGAAATGATTGGTATGGCTAAATTAGCTGGCACAAGTACTGTTACAACACTGTATTTTCTATCTTAATATCACAGTCGGTGTCGAATAGTGATTAGCTTTCTTGAAGAATATCCTTAGACTATTCTGAAAGATAGCAGCAGCCCCCAAATCTTTCTTTGCTTCCCATATTTGTAGATCAAATTACATAGGTTGCTCTGAAAGCAATGCCTCCTATTTATTTCCATGGAAACAACAACAGATACAAAATGCACAATCACACCGTTTTATAGAGCAAATTTTCAGCTACAAAAATGTTATTTTTTAACATAGTCACCACTATTAGCTGCATGTTTTCACATGAGCCTGCATGCCATGTTTGTAAAAATCTACACCCAGTATCACTGTCACCAGTGCTGAAATGCACCACCCACCCCTCACTGTGCTCACAGCTGCCATTTGGTCTCCAGAAAGACTCAACAAGCTTTGGTGGGTGTCAGTGGGTGCATTTGTTTCTGCATGGAGGAATTCAGATACACACCTTTGCTTCATGCACACCTCCATGTCAGATGACATTCTGTCAGACTGCCCCTCTGCTGCCATCTGTCACACAGCAACAGGATGTAATGGAATATTGGTGGGAAGGTTCTGCCTCTACTGCTGTACCACCAACGCCCACACCTAGCATTGTGGGCCAGCGTACTGAAATAAGAGGCGTTACTTTCAGAGCAGCCCTCATACTTTTAGGTCAGTGCTTCCAAGTAAGGGCAGCAGGAGCTGATCTGCAGCAAAGTGAGCAGTGCACGGTGTACCCAAATGGTACACACGTGTTCGGAGGGAAAGGATTTCTAGTGCTGCTGAGATACCAGTCAGAGCGCTTCAGCAGGGACCAAACAGCTGCAAGACATTTAGGGACAGCTCAGGAATCCCCATGAGTTGAAGTGAGACAGGAAGCAGCGAGAAGCTGAATAAAGTAGCTGAGGGAGATGCCTTTATTTAAGGAGAGAAATTCAAAAGAAGTTCAACAGGTCCAGGTGCAGCAGATATGAGAGAAAGTAGGTAAGGAATCATCTGGAAAGGGGAAGGAATTCTTTATAGTGAAATTTTTTTCTTGACATGTAAGACTCCTTTTCATTATCCAGAACTTGCTCTTCAATATATTAACTAGTTAGTTTTGGTGACAGATGAGTCCATGGGCACTCACACCTGTCTGCTTGCATAGCTAAGTGTGGGGAAATGGCGTTTAGTCATCACACTGCACTTAGGGAACCTCATCCTCCCAGTCCTTTTATACACGTTTTGTCTTAGTAGAGCAGAAATTGTAGGGTTACTTGTAAATAGAAGAAATCTGGCTACACTGTAACAAGTACCAACTGAATGATTGCTTTGATAGGCTCATGTCCTGGGGCAGGATTAGCTTGGGAGAAGTTCAGACAAGTGGGTGAAGCCATAAGGGCGGGGGAGATCAGCGTGGTAAAGGTGGAAGAACCTAAAGATGCAGCCCTTACTGTCGGAGAGCAGTGAAGCACTGGGGCTGGTGGCTGTGCTGCACTCCTGTGGTTTGCTGGGGAGGAAATCGGGGAGTGCTGGGGTCATCCCTAACTGCACCCTGCATGGACGCACTGTGAGCTCCTGGCACGCTGCTCCAGCACTCCGACGGGAGTGTGGGCGGGTCCCTTGGGGAAAATCTCGTGCTTTGGGTTAAACGCTTAGCATTTACCTGAGGAAGCAGGCAGAGTGTGTTGGATGAGGCTTTTTAAACGGGAGGGCTGGAAGCTGAAACCAGAACATTCTCTGGCAACTGGAGAAAGTTGTGAGTGCAGTGAGGGCGGCAGGACCCCCCTCCCCCTGCCTAGCGTGGAGACAAAGAGCAGGCAAGGGGGGAGCTGAAATAGGAAGCAGGAACCATGGCAGGGGACTGGGGACTAAAAGAAAGCAAATTAATAAGCCGGTATGAGCCACCGGGGGAAAGCACGCAACTGACCGGAGAGCCACTAGGAGAGATCAGCAAATTCCAGCTCCTTTAACTGCTCTGACCGTGTGTACATGCAGCCTGGCCAGCCAGCTGAAATGTAATCATTTTCTTCACTACGGCAAGTACAACTCTTGTTCCCCTGACACACGGGCAGGCTTGCAGGATGAGGGCACTGCATTATCTGTGTGTAACACAGTGTATGTGAGCTCTGCTCCCCTGCATCGCTAGCACTCAGACAACCTCCAATTTCCAAAAACACATGTTTGTATCTCAGAGTGTGCATCCATAGTGCAGCAATAAAGAGCCACTGGAGGTGCCTGCAAGTGTAGCTAGCTTCCATCAAAAGCAAGAGAAATCCAGCGCAGAAACTGAGGGCATTGCGTGGCCTTAAGTGTTAATGTGAAAAAAAGCTGCCCTTTGGAAGCTCATTGTGCTCATTTGCACATCAGTACCAGAAGACTTTTTCAGTTCCACCACCATTTGATTGCAGTGCGAGGTCGGAGCCCTTGGAACTCGCTACAGCTCGAGATGCCCCTGTGTGTGCTAAGTTCAGTGTTTTCCACTGAGTAGTTTAAGCGACAGTACAGGATTGCGAATAGGTCATCCGAGGATTCTTAATTAGCCTCGATGTTATAAAGGCTAAAAGGTGCCGTCTTTAACAAAGCAAAGAAGTCTCTAAGTGTGCGTGCAGAGATGGGGTGGGGGAATATTTCCTCAAAAGCAAGCAAAAATTCTTCGGAGATAGAAAGCGCATTTCAGCAGGACGCGAACACAGTGCTGATGTTGGCACGGCAGCCCTTCGCGCCGCTCCCGGGAGGTTCAGCACCGGACAGCCCGCTCGCAGCGGTGCCTCCAGGAGCGCGCCCCGCGGTCCCCGGCAGAGCGGGGCTCGGCCCCCAGCGCGGGTCCCTCCGAGAGGGGCATTTCTGCAGCGAGGGGATCGCCTTCGGCCCCTTCCCTGCCCCGGGTCGTGCCGGGAGCGGGTCCCGGTACGGGGAGCGTGAGGGCAACGAGGGCGCGGGGGGAGGTCGGGCCGCCCCACAGCCCCCGGCCCCTCACGGAGCGGCTGTGGGGCGAGCGGGGGAGGTGGGGGCCGCCGCGCGGCTCTGCGGCTACGGGCGGGTTCGCATCGGCCTGGGGAGGGGGGAGGCCGCCCGCGGCACCCCCACCGCCCCCACCCCCGGCCCCTCCTCTCCCCGGTGGGAGGGGGCCCGGGGGGCGAGCGCGGCCCGGATATTTGGGGGAGGGGGCGAGCGCGGCCCCCCCGCGTCGCGGTGGGGGCCCGGCTGCCGGCTCGGCATTGGAGGAGAGGCGCCGGGGAAGGGGGAGGCTGCAGCCCCCGGCCCCGCGGGCGGGCGGGGTGGGGGCCGGCCTGCTGGCGCTGGCTGCTCGTGCATTGGCGGATGCGGGGAGGGAGGGGGGCAGGAAGCGGGGGGGCAGGGGGAGCCCGAGCGGCCGGAGGGGGGGTCTCCGCGAATAGGGTGGGGGGCTTCTCGACCGAAGGAGAGAGGAAAGTTTGCGGCGCCGGTGGTGAGGGTGCGGCGAAGCGGGCGGGGCCCGGCGCGGGGCCGGCGGCGGCGGCGCTCGGTCGGGGAGCAGCGGCCGGGGGGCCCCCGCTGGATTTTTGTAGGGGGGGTGGTATCGCCCCCTCCTTCTCCTCCCCCCAGGGGTGAAAGTGCAAGAGGAAGTGCAGCCGCTGCCATCTTTCCTCCGCTCCAAACACACAGGGACGGACGGAGCCGGCAGCCCGGAGCCGCGGCCGCCCGAGCCCCCTCCCTCCCCGCTCGCCGCCGCCGCGCCGCGCACGCCCCTTCCCGCGGCGGCCTCCGCGGCCGCAGCGCCTCGTGGCGGCCGGACCCGGGCGGAGCTCCCGCGCCGGCGGCCGCGGCGGCCCCGCGCGGCGCGCGCCCCTCCGCCGCCCGAGCCTTTTGTCTCGCCCCCCCCCGCCATCCCTTCGCGCTGTGCAGGGAGCGCAGCGCGCGCCGCCGCCGTCGGCCCGGACAGGGGCGGGGAGCAGGAGGCGGCGCGCGCCGCCGGGCGTGAGAGCGCGCGCCCCCTGCGGGCGCCAGCGGGGCGGCGCAGCCCCATGGAGCGGGTGAGCGAGGCCGCCGCCTGCGGCCCCTCGTCGGGCTGCTACACGTACCAGGTGAGCCGGCACAGCGCCGACATGCTGCACAGCCTCAACCAGCAGCGCAAGAACGGCGGCCGCTTCTGCGACGTGCTCCTGCGCGTGGGCGACGAGAGCTTTCCGGCGCACCGGGCGGTGCTGGCAGCCTGCAGCGAGTACTTCGAGTCGGTGTTCAGCGCGCAGCCGGGCGACGGAGCGGCCGGCGGTGGAGAAGGAGGCTCGGCGGAGGCGGCGGCGGCCGGCGGAGCCTCGGCGGCAGGCGGCGGGTCCCCCGGGGGGGGGCGGGAGCTGGAGATGCACACCATCAGCTCCAAGGTGTTCGGGGACATCCTGGACTTCGCCTATACCTCGCGCATCGTGGTGCGGCTGGAGAGCTTCCCGGAGCTCATGACGGCCGCCAAGTTCCTACTGATGCGCTCTGTCATCGACATCTGCCAGGAGGTCATCAAGCAGTCCAACGTGCAGATCCTCGTGCCCCCCACGCGCCCCGACATCATGCTGTTCCGCCCAGGGGCCGCTGACCTCGGCTTCCCTCTCGACATGACCAACGGTGCCACGTTGGCGCCCAATGGCAATGGCATTGCAGGCATGCCCGAAGACGAGGCCACGCGGGCTGCGCTCACTGCGGCACAGTCCTCCCTGCCTGTGCTGCAGGGTGTGGACCGCCTGCCCATGGTGGCAGGACCCCTTTCCCCACCGCTGCTGGCCTCACCCTTCCAGAATGTTGCTGCTAGTGCCCCCACCTTAGGTACCAAGCGGGGCAGAGGCCGTCCCCGTAAAGCCAACCTCTTGGACTCCATGATGTTCGGGGCCCCGGGTGGACTGCGTGAGGCTGGCATCCTGCCATGTGGCCTCTGCGGAAAGGTTTTCACTGACGCCAATCGGCTTCGTCAGCACGAGGCTCAGCATGGGGTGACGAGCTTGCAGCTGGGTTACATAGACATCCCACCCCCCAGACTGGGTGAAAATGGCATCCCTGGCCAGGACGACCCTGATGCGCCCAGAAAAAGAAGCAGGACAAGAAAACAGGTGGCATGTGACATCTGTGGCAAGATCTTTCGGGACGTGTACCACCTGAATCGGCACAAGCTGTCGCACTCTGGTGAGAAGCCTTACTCTTGTCCAGTGTGCGGGTTACGGTTCAAGCGGAAAGACAGGATGTCCTATCATGTTCGATCCCACGATGGCTCAGTGGGAAAGCCCTACATCTGCCAGAGCTGCGGGAAAGGCTTTTCCAGGTAAGAGAGAACTTCCAAGGATTGTAGACACAGAGACCTAGGAAGTTGTCTTTCCCATCCCTTGGGAAGCCAGAACAATTTGTACATAGGGTAGTTTGGCTGTTCCAATTTAAAATGTCTCGAGAAATGAGACTTTCATCATTTCCGCTGGGAGGCTGTACTGAGTCTCTCAAAAGGATCTAAAAGTAATTAAGACACAGATCCGGGAATCAGTTGGCTCCTGGGTAAACATCCCCAGCTCTGTCCCAGACCCATGTACACGTCAGGCGGTCCCTCCCTCAGATGACAGTTCTGAGAAGTGGGTCTCCCTAGTAGTTACCTGTCTGACTGTAGTGTCTGGAGACTCCTGATTTGTAGGTAGTTGGAAGGTGCTGTTGAAGTGCAAAATATTAATACATCTCAAGTTTATTATTTTTCTCGTATCCATTTTAAATTTTCTTTTTTCTTAACTTCCCTTCATTTCTCTTAGTTCGTAATGTTTTTTATCACCCAAATGTGAAGGAAGAGGTGAGATTTCAAAGGCTGCAGCATCAAGTATCTTTTAATACATGATCTTTGTGTCCTTTGGGTTTACATCCTTCTGAAGGGGATCCTGTTTCTGCCCTGCAACATACGTAAGATCTGTGCATTTAATGTTGCTGCTTTTTTTGTTGTCACTGTTTGTGGGAGTTAATATAAGTTTGAGGCTAGGAGCTTGGGGGGTGGAGGGTGCATCCATGCCTTGTTCCCCTTGTAGCTGCACTCTGCTTCTGTCTGCAGTTGTTGACTCAGCAGGAGAGAGGGATTTGACACAGGACAATGAATCAAAAGCTGACAGGGGAAGAGTTTTCCCAGCTGTACACGTGGGAAGTGTGTGCCTGCTAGCTCTCCTGTTGGTAGAGTAGAGCTTTTTGTTACTGGGATAAATTAAGGCCACACAGGTTTCATCTTTTTTCCCCTCCCTCTTCTTTTTCCCCTTCTTTTCTAAAATCCGCAATAATTAGGAGATGCTCTGTGTTCAGGACTGCAAATTTAGTGATGAGAAGTCATAAACTGAAAATGTGAGCTAAAAGCAAATTATGCTTTTTACTACAGTGCTACCTGTGATCATTGCCAATTTTTATCATTTTTGTTCAAGATCAAAAATTAACTGTTGCTGTATGAGAGATTTTTGTCAACAAGGGGATGTGAAAAATACATGTTGAGTTCTCCTTGTTTCCAATGACTTAAAATGTGAGCAAGCGGGTACACTGTTAAGAAAATAAGCCACAAAAATATCTATCCTTTTTTCTTTAAATCGAAGCATGGAAAGTAGAGAACCTTTCTTAAGATGCAGTATTCAGTTACAGGAGCTGTCAGAGAAAAGCTGGAAGCGTGATGCCCGACTTTAGTGCCCTTTCCTCCAGCGAGTAGTGCAGCAGCGCGGCCGCCAGGCTGGCAGCACCTGGGAGGACCCCAGTCCGTCTGTCTGGTTGCACGGCCCCAGCCCACCGCAGCGCCGGCTCCAGCTCGGGCTCTGCTGTCCGCAGTGCGTGAATTCCACCCTGCGCGCTCCCATTGGCGCAGCTGGAGAGCTGGGGGAGGAGAGGGTGGAGAACTTGTTTCCAAGCAGTTTTGGGCTCATACAATGAAAAGCTTTCTTCCCACTAAGAGAAACTCCCATCAGGAAAATCTGCAGCTATTCAGTCTTCTCAAAGTAGGCTTTACCAATTGCAAAGAATGGCCTAACTTTTTTCAGTAATAATTTGCTCTTCCATTGCACCTTCTAGTTGGGACCTTCAGAGCACTTTATTTGTATTAACAGTCTCTTCACCACATTGTGAGTTAGGACAGTTTTTTTTTTTTTTGTCTTGCTGATGGGGAATGTCACAGCAACAGAGTGTAGAGTCAGTCTTTTTGCACAAAGGTGCTTAAAGTTGGCTTCTTACATCTATGTTTGGGACATAAATCAGAAGGGGCTGATTTTCAAATATTCGGCAATGGTAAACCTGATCACCCTGATGGCCAAGGTCTGAATAGGAGTTTGGAAGGGGGCATGCAGGTTTGAAAATTGTAGCTTGTATTTCCTGTTTGCTTTGTTTGTTCAGGCAGAGCTGCTTTGCAAGAAAATGATGCTTTTTTAGCAAGTTGGAAAGAATGCTTAAGGTAGAGTCTTAGTTGCTGGTGATCTGGTTCTTGGAAAGTTAAACGTCACAACATCTGTAATAGATCCACCACAGGGATTGTCTCTCTCTATTTTTTTTTTTTGTTGTTGTTAAAATTGGACTTTTATTTTTAGTATTTGTTTTAAGTTGTGCATATGTGTATTTTCTTTGAAGGCCAGACCACTTGAATGGACACATCAAACAGGTGCATACCTCAGAGAGACCTCACAAGTGTCAGGTAGGAGCTGGAGGGGCTTACACTGGTGTATGGGTTATCTTTGTTTTAAGGTGTTAGATTTGTAAATGTGCAGAGAATTACAACGTATCGATAAAAATACCAGCTGTGTGTGAATTGGATAAGGAACTAAGCGTTCCACCATGATAGCTGCTTAACACACCTCCTGTCCTTTAGTCCCTTATGCTGCTTTGGTCCTTCTGCTTCCCTCTGCTTCTCCAATGTGTTCTTCCCTACTGCTCCACTGTTCTTCCCTGCTGCTGACCCTCCCCAGCTCTCTTACCCGCTCACCTTCTCCCTGAGCTCAAGTCAATGTCACAAAGAACGCCCTCTTTTTCCCGCCATCCTCTTTCCCACTCTGTTGCAGTTACCAACAGAAGGCTCCAGTGTTGACTTGGTTTGTTGTTTTTAGAATAATTTCAAATAAAATTCATAAATTATTGTCACTTGCCAGGGTGCTCTTTTTATCACATCGTTCAGAACATTGCACTGAGCAAAATTGGAAGCTTTTTTTTTCCTCCCAGTGAGAGCATAGAAAATATGGGCACAGTATTCTTTCAGTATCTTTGTAATATGATGTCATAAAGTAGTATATACATATATACACACACACATATATATATATTACCTTACAGTAAATTAATTATTCATTGAGGTTTGAATGGACAAATCAAGAAAGATATTTTGTAATTCATTTGTGTAGAGATTTAAAAGGTGCCTGGAAGTGTTAATTAAAAGTTGAGAACCAGCTTCCATTATCACCCACTGTCTTCGCAAAGTTGTTAGGCAAACTTCTAAAACATTTGTTGGGCTAGCAGACTGCATGGTTGTTCTCTGAAGAAAGGCTTGGTTATCTATTTATTTTAAGAAAGATTGAGCATGATAACTTCATTTTCTTTGAAGACAGAAAAGTTAAAAGATTTTTTTCCCTTCTGAAGTTTTAAACGTTTTACGAACCTCGTCAATCCTACATGACTGCTGCCTCCTCATCTGCACTTATTTCCATCTCTTGACACACCTTTGCTATGTTTTCTCCAAACTGTGAGAGTTTTCAAAGGTTTCTGTAGTTTTAATAATCCCTTAAACAGATTTTCAGAAGTATAGAGCCATCTAAAAGTTTCTGTTGCCCTCAATAAGGTCTGCAGGAGCTCAGCACCTTTGTAAATCAGGCCATAGAGCCTTCATGGTGATTTTACTCTTTACTTTATAAAAACCTTAGATTGGTTTGAACTTACTAAGACGATTTAGAGGCATGGATTCATATAAATTGGAAAATTCTGCTTGCAAAAATATCTCACACTTTGGGGATGGATAGCAAGGGGTCTGAGTGGATAAACTGAAGATAACTGAAAATGTTGTCCCTAAGCATATGCTTGTTTGCAGTGCGAAAGTAATATTTAGGTCTCAACATAACCAGAAACTCTTGATTTTTTGCTAGTTGGTATCAAGCTTACTGAATATATGCAATTGATAAATAACAGTGATGAGCTTGAATTCTCCTTTACCAGCTGACACTTAATAGTTTTCGTATCAATTTAAGAGGACTAACTGTAAATTGTGTAAGTGTGAATCAGAGGATACACCAAGAGCTGGAAAGTCAAGAAATACAGAAACTAAGATTGTGCAGCCGAGCTCAACTCTTATCTCCTTGCACACATGTATTCTGTGATAGCATTTTCTAAGAACTGTCTTTCTCATTACGTATTTGCTGTTTAAAGTCCTGTGACATTATATGCATTGTTTATTTCAGTTAGAAGCTATAATCTATAGATTACAAGCACGAGGGCAGAATTGAGATTGTCATTTCAAGCTTGATTTGTTCTTCATTTTTGAATGCTTAACTCTGCAAAGTTAATAATTAATTAATCTTAAACAACATGTAGAATGTTGTTAAAGAGCTGCTGTGTGTCTTTGAAAAAAGACTTAACAATATGCTGTCAAATGAAGAAAACCTTGAGTATGCCTGGATTTTGATATATGTTATACAAACCATACAAAGGGATGCCATGCACTGAAAATTGTTTTGAATCTAAAAGCTCATACATAATTGATAAAGTTCTCCTTCTGGTTATCTCATAACAAGTAACACTTTTGCTCTATGACATGTATCAGGACAGAGTACCTGGCTACTAATAAGGAAAATAGCTTAATATTGGCTTGTTTTTTTCCAGGTCTTCATTCTCATTTTCATTGATTTCATTTGGCAAGCCAGCCCCTATGAGAGTAGGCCAAGCAGTATTGAGCATCCTTTTTGAATCTGTCGAGTTCCTGTTGAAAATTCCTGTTATTGTCATGCTTTTTTAATGTTTACAGCAAAAGAGTATTCTTTAGGTAAACTGAAAAGCCTTTCAGAATCCTCTGTCCTGTTGACATTCTTGGAAGTAATTGATGCTATAATTTAAACAAAATCCACTGGCTGTTTCCCTCAACCCTTGTGTAGCTTTACACACCAGTGGATATCTAATGTTTTCTTCATATGGCATGGTGTATTTTGGACTACAACACAAAGGAGGGAGGATGTCAACCCAACTTTAAAACAAATAAAATGAAACTTTGAGAAGCAGGATGGTTGTAAGCTGAATGTAACTGCAACAGCTACAGCTTAGAGTGCTTGGCAAATAATCCTGCACTCAGACTCCCTAAAGTAATAGTTGGGCTTCACAGATCTTTGAAAAACTCTCCTAACTTCCAGCCCTTGTAGCACCCCATGCCACACAAAGACCTGATTGCAGCTTTTTTGTTAAAATAGATGCAGAAAGGGGAAGACCTCCATAGACGAGGGTATCTCAGAAAACTGATCCAAGAAGTTGCACTGGTGTCCAAACCAGACACCAAAAAGCACTCTGGCAATATTTCCCTTGTATTGTTGCACTGTTGATTTTTTTTTTCTTCTTTCTAAACTTACATTTGAGTTCCAGATAAAGGAGAAGGGGTAAGTCAGTGTTAATGGCCATAAGGGACAGGTCGGTTTGCTGGCTCACCATGGGAAGACATAAGGATGTATTGTTGGTTTTTGAGTATGATTGATATAGAAGTTAGGCTGCAGTTCTGTGGACGAGAAAAAAAAAGGGGAGAAACATGAAGTTTGTTCCTTCTGTGAGACAAGAGAAAGGTTGTTCCTCTGGCAACTGAAGTTTAAAAAAAAAAAAGAGAGAGAGAGAAAAATACAGGTTGAGTTAAAGCAGAGCTTTTGTTAAAGAAAGATATCTATTTAAATAAACCTAAAATTGGCATCCCAAGTCCAGTGCTTTTCCCATTGATTTCAATGCAGAATGAGTTTCTTCCTGTCCTAATTTCTCTTACTTCCTGCCTATTAGCAGGAAAATGGCAGCCACCATGGAATAAGCTCAGAGACATCCACAGCCATAGAAAAGTTGAAACTTCAAGAGGTATTTCTTCAACAATGTTTTTTAAACTTTATATATATATTCTTTTTGGTCTATTTATATACCTTTGCAATGTTTGATAGGAAAGCACTGGAGTTCTCTTCTATGATTAACATTAATGATAAATACTTAGTACTCGTTTAGCACTTCACATCTTTTATAAAATAAAACTTTTTACTTTTTTTTTCTCTATACTTTTATAAATATTAACCATTTGAATATTAACTTTGGGGTTTTCTTTAATTATAGTCCTATCTCCCATTGTTGTGATTCAGCTAAACTGGTTCTTGCTTTCTCCACTGGACTGATTATTTTTTCAAAGCTTCTTCACAGATGTATTTGCTATACAGCTTATCCAAAGATGAACTTTACAAAACTCAGCAGCAACACATAAATGATTATATTGCCTTTCTCTAAGCTTTCAACTTGGTCATTTCAATGTGGGACAGATATAATTTTACTTCTGGCATCCGTGTATTTATGTGGTTTGTCTCTGGTCTGCTTTATAAACTAATGCACTCCCAATGCTTTCATATAGACACTCATTGTGGCTCAATATTACTAGAGTAATTGATGATGGGTCTTTTGGCTGTCATCCTTGATCATCTGGTTATATACTTTTAGTTGATATCCAACAGATTGATTAGCATCAGAGCTGGAATCCTAACTTAACTGAGCGTTTACCTCTAATAACATTTAAGTAAGTGAAAGCTGCACCTCTTTTGCTCAGCGCTGTGTCCTGAGATTTCAAATACAGAGAAATTTTTCATTTTTAAGAATTTCCTTCTTAATCTTCACTGCTTGTGATTTATGATTCTTTGTCTGGTGAGCTTAGCTAAACTGTGTATCATGGAAATTTAGATAATTTTACTGTTGCTTTTTTAAGTACATTAAGTCCTGATCCGGTGAGGTGCTAAGTCTTGTGCTTGCTGCCGAGTAGCCTAAGCTCCATGGGAATTTACTTTACTTAAGCATCTCACAGGGTCAAATGAATCCAAAGCCTGTTGAAATGGATAGGTACTTTTCAGCTGCCTTTAGTGTTTTATAGGTCAAGCTGTTGATTCACTAAATTACACAAAATTGTGTAGGTTACCCATACCTGTATTTATCGATTTTGTTTTATCTGAAGTTGTAATTCTGTAATTTTACTAAGATTGTTAATTTAACAAGCCTTTCTCTGGTGAAAGAGTTGTTTCACTGCACCCTGATACTTGAAATGACAGAATATATCCAGTTCCCAAGTCACTTAATTTTCTTATATTATCTCTTAGGGGACTCTGGTTATACAACTGAAACCTGCATAATTTTATACAAAGGTGTGGTATAAACCAAACACTGTGCACTCTGGGATGTCACTGCTGCCCGTTTGCCCTGGTCATTCTAACACATACCTGCTTTTGTTTTCCTTCTTGCACTTGTGAGCAGTGGTTTTGGACAATAATAACTTGTACGATGTATTACTGATGGTTTATTATTTTCCTTCACGTTAGAAATACAGCAAGCCTTTCAGAACTGACAGGCTGTTGCAGTAGGCATATACGTAGTCTGCACAGCTGCCACTTGCTGTGATTATGAACATGGGAGGGAACTGTCTCTCATCTGTCATACAGATTACCTCTGGGAAGTGAGCATGTAGAACCAATATTATCTCATGCCAGATCAAGCTTGTTTCATGGTAATAAGTGAGATATGATAGCTTGATCAGGGGTAAGTTTTAAACAGACTACATTGCTATGCAGTTATTTTGATACCTGCTCACTTCCGAGGCTTTATTTCTGCACTTTGCCTGCACTGCTGCTGGGGATACCAGGATGGCTCTTTTACTGTCTTTTGTTTTTTTCATCCCAGGCAATTTTCTGATGCTTTATTACATCTTCTTAGTCCAAAGGAGAAATCCTCTGTACCCAAGTCAGATTGTATCAGAGAACAAAATTTAGGAAAGTGTCAAAGAGGACATTTTGAGTGGTCTGAAGTGATGTTAATGGCTCAGTGAAGTGGCAGAATTTACTGTAATGCTACTTCTGTTGTTAAATATTTCTTGGTATTAATATCTTCATCCTCAGTGAGGAGCTAAGGCCTTAGAACTCTAATCTGTATTGAAGTATTATTACCTGTAGTACGTTAGATCTGTTTTCTTGCTTTCTTAATTCTTTCAAGTAGTAACCACATCTTGTGTTATGTGTGGGTGATCTGAATTGTTAACTGTGGGGAAATGGCTTGTGTATCATGTGATTTGTATATGCAGGGTCTGAAGTATTTACTCTAAAGAATGCTAAATAGATTTGACAGTGTCAGTGCTTTTAGCGGAGTTGTTGAGTCACATGGTTCTCATTGTACCTGCAGACTTGTAATGCTTCCTTTGCCACGCGTGATCGACTGCGCTCACACCTAGCATGTCATGAAGACAAAGTTCCATGCCAGGTGTGTGGGAAGTACTTGCGGGCAGCATATATGGCAGATCATTTGAAGAAACATAGTGAAGGACCAAGCAATTTCTGCACTATCTGTAACCGAGGTAATGAAGAAACAATTTTTTTAAATTTCAGTGGGTTGGGAGAATGCTCGAGGGAAGCTGTAAGGCTGTGTGACTGTCTGCAACAGGAGACGTATATATACCATATATGTGTACATATTCTTTGCTTTCCTTATTGAATTCTTAACTTTGAAACTGGTGGTGATATAGGTCTGCTCTTATATAGTTAATAGTTCCTAAAGAACCTTAGTTTAAGTCTGAAGCAAATTATTCTTAGACAATTTTAAGAATTTTATTTGCTAAGTATCCAGATTACTATAAAATAACCGAGATACATTGCCTTGTTCATCATGCACATTTTTTTCTGGTCCCTGCGTTCAATCTGGAAGAAGAATATTTAAATACACATGAAGTTGAGAATTATATACTGTACATAAAGAATTTACATTTTATTATCTTCTTAACCTCCTGGTGCAGCAGTAGAGTCAAACTGCTTCTCCCACTTCTTCCAAGAAATTGCTTTGTATTAATATATATTTCTGAAACAAGTCTCTTAAAGAGCACTAAAAATGTTCTTTACTTTCATTTGTGTAAATACAGCTTTTCAACTTTTTCCATCTGTTTTTAGTACTGCCAAGTTGGAGAGACAGTTGTAGACTTAGGTTTTGTGGGATGTCAGGCAAGCTGGGCAAACTTTGGAAAGAAGAAAAAATGATTTTGACTTGCTAATACCTGTTTGCTTGCATTTTTTTTTGAATGATTGATAGTCTACTTCAAAATGTGTTGCTGGCTCACACTTGTGTACAAACCTAGTGAGTATGGCAACATGTTGCTGCTGTGTTTGGGGATCTCTTTTTTTTCTGATGAGGTGGTTTTTGGTAATGTGTGCTCCCATTCCTATTTTAAGGGAGATGAAATCAAATCTTATGAGAGAATTGTGTCGAATAATGAGAGGGCTGTAGGAGGTTTGAGATGATGAGGAGATGATGAGTAATGAGAGACATTCGCTTGTGAGGGAGGTGTTTCCAGTGGTTTAGCCATATGTTAGGTCCTGAAAATGACACTAACATTTTGACTAGATACGGTATCTGTGTTGAAAATCTTCAGATTCCGAAGCTCCAGGTAGACAATGTGAAATGAGGCTTGGCTTCCTCTTCAGATAAAGGCCTCTCTTCTGAAATGCTGCTTAAGCTTATCCTGATTCTTACTGTTGTAACAACACGAAGGGTGCTATGCAAGGTCCAGGTGCTGTCCTGCTCTCCCTCAGGTGTACACGATGCTAAACAAACACATGTGGGTTGGGAGAAATTGTCACCTTTCCAGGGCTTATAAACTTGAGTTTCAACTCAACTACCACCAGATGTCACTGTGGCTCCTTTAACATAAAGCCAGCATGACAAAGACAGATCTAGTGATTAAACAATGAAATGATTAAAGGGAGTATTCACATCTTACAGGCCTAGATATACAGTAGGAATTTAAATAAAATAAAGGTTTTTTTTTTACAGCAAACTATTAGCAACTACTTTATTCTTATGGTTTATGTATTGCAAATGTATTCCATTATACATCAGCACTTACAAACCATAACGAAACTGTTGAATTGTTGCTAAATATTTATCTTGTGTTAAAATTCATAGGAAAAGGAAGTTATAGACTGGCTTTGTCAACCAACTGTATTATGGGCATTGTTACATTCCATGAATTTTGATTACAGGTTTATGATCTATGATACTGAGATTTTTTTAATCCAGAGCTTTCTAGAATCAAATTATAATGTTCATTGTTTAAAATATCTTAAGATATCTTAAATTGTAGAGGCTGAAGACGTACAGACGTACAGTGGAAAATGTATGCATTGGAAACCTCAAATTGATGGGCATTGGCACAGTCAGCAGCTGCATGCTGCCCCCAGCTGTGGCTGCTAGAGCTACAATGCAGTTTTATCCTTCCTCCTGCTGATGTGCTGCTGTGTTTTTTAATTAGAACTTAAGTAGTGCTGGGTATAATAATTGTCAAGCAAGATGATGAAAAATTTTAAGAGCTGTGTGTAAAGGGAAGTAGGATGCTGGCCCACAAAAAAAAGCAACAAAAAAAGTGGATAAAAAGGTGACTTGTACTGCTGAACTCATCCTAGTGTCAAAATCCTCACTTCATCCCATCAGACTGAAGGCTTTTCTGTAGAAGTTTATCAAGTGTCTTGTGTTCTCCTAAAGGCATGGTGGGTTTAGGAGAAAAGGAACTCGATGTCTAACCAAAAGTGGTTGCCAGTTGTATATTATATCATTCACGTGCCCTTTTGCTAATTTTATGTGTTTTACAAAAATGGCAGTATAATGTCCAAAAATTACCACCTGTGAGTTGATTTTCTTCAGGTTATTTTCTTACTAAGGGTCTTTTTGCAGAGAGTAATTATGTAAGCAATTAAATCTTCTCTAAGCAAGGGAGCTGTGCAGTGTTCTTTTCTGAGATTTTCTGATATGTTTGTTTTGTTTTTAAAAAGTCATGGAAAATGTGCTTATGGAAACTGAATCCTCACTTTTAAAGACTTTTTTTTTTTTTAACCAGTTTAAATCCAAAAGACTTGCTCCTGCTTAATTGTTACATAATATTCTCTTACCCTTCCTAGGAACGTCATTTGCTTGTGAGGGCTTTTTCAAAGAACTACAAGCTTCATGACTTTGGCAAGTCTGAAGCTGATGCTTTGCTGTCAGGTTTGCAAGTTGGAACAGCCACATTCTATTACAGACACATGCATTGTTTGCTTCACAGAAATCAGAGGAGCTTGGGATGAGTGCATATTGTAATCACAAGTTAGATTATTATTATTTTTACAATAAAGTGAATTATTGTATTTTTAATAAACTACAGAGCTGACTAAACTGACTGAAGCTAGAAGCATTCTCCAAATGTTCTGGCTAAGTCCAAATCAGAATTTTTGAAAGAGGAGCATCCTACAGCTATTTCTGTAGTTGTCTCTTTGTGGATGTTACCTGAGAAAAGAATGAAGATTGTTGTTTTTTTTTCAGTGCATGTTTTTAGTGTTGATTAGTCTGGAGTGAAGAAATAATCTGCTCCACAAAGCTGTGAGCTATGTATGGGGAAAGCAATAAATACTTTTATTTGAAACATACTGCCACTTTGTGCTGTGCATTAGCTTGATCTTGTTTTTAAAGAGATTTTTAAAAGTAAAGGATTATTGATTGCGAATTCACCCCCATCTTCCTAGGACAGCTATTCCTAATTAAGGCCTAATGGGAAAAAAAAGCAGTACTGAGTGCTTCAGAAAAAAATAGAATAAAGCCAAAAAAATCTCATTTCAAACAGTTTCTTATGAAGCAGTTGGCTTTCTTCCTGCCTTGATAGAAGCTGATGACTCACATGTTCATCTGCCAAGTACAGAAAGGGGAGCTAACACACTTTGCAGGCAGCTTTCATTATATAAAACAATGTATCCTACAAATAGAATTGCAGAGTTCAGAAAAATGACTGTGTAGCAGAGATTACAACTCTAGATTTCCCTGTGTCAGTTGTGGTATAGAAAAACACTGAATAACTGTGTAGTCCTTTGTTAATGGTTAGCAGTAGGATTTTAATGTGTTGCTACAGAAAGAAACACATCTCAGCATGCATGCAGTCATTAGACATGAAGGAAATAAGGGAAATACCTTGAGTTGCACGTATCACCATTACATTACATCTGGACATTGGTCCTTTTCTCTAGCGAACATACTGGTTCTATCCATATCTGCAGTGAATTTTTCATTTTTGTTGGAAAAAGAGATTCTCTTGCAGCCCAGAGACACACTCAGTGCAGCATTTTGTGCCTGAGCATAAGTCTTGCCTTACTTCAGAAGAAAATATCTTTACATCAGCTCCCTGGATGATTTTTCTGAGATGATTCCCATCCTTGTCCTCAATTTCTTCTGTTACGGTTTTGTTGCTGTATCTTATGTATTTTCCTTACTTTCATTTTCAACTCAGGGATCTGCAGAAACTATCTCTTCATTCTCAGCAACCTGCCCCTTTTCCCTCCAGCAAGTTGCTGTGGAGCTCTGCATGTCCTGTGCATGTAATTCTTAACTCCTGAACAGTCTTTGATCCTGGCTGTGCAGCAAGTATTCTGTTGGGTAGGCAAAGGGAATTCTCCTTATTTGTTATTACATTCAGCACCTAAAATGAACAGCTGTCAGAAAACCCACCCAACATGCGTGCCAGTATTGGTTTTGCACCTAACCTAATATGTTATTATATCTCAGCATAAGTCAATGCAGTTACATCACTGTAAAAGTGGCTTTACAATAGTATATCTGTTCGTAAAGTGAAGCGCTGACATGAAAGTTCTGTTTCAAGGGCTGGTGCTGCAAATGCTGTTTTGGTTTAAAAAGAATTAATCCAAGTCTCAGGTTATCTGTTTGCAGAACAGGAACCTGGAGCTCCCTGTCTGTGAGTGTGGAACATGTGTTTTGCTGTCTGTTCTTAAAGGAAAATGTTTCAACATGAAAGTGTTATAACGTGGTTATTGGTGGGCTTACCTGTATAAAAAGTGTTCATAATCTGTCCTCCATGTGCCTCACGTGTGGTCCATATGCTTCTAGTACTACCTACAAGTTTACTAAAATCTGAATTTTAAAATGTTTCAAAGTATTTGTTAGATAATTTATTACATTAAAGAAAAAGTTCTTATTTGTGAGAGTTAAGAAATAGGAAAAAATAGCATATGAACAAATTTTTAGAAAATGTTTTATTTAGAATTCAGTGTTTGAAATATGTGTTTTTAACTTCCATGGTCTAAGCAGCTAATAGAAATACTGAGATTTCATTTTGATATATATATATGTATATTTTTTTCTGTTAACTACAGACAAAATATGAGTTTTAGTATGGTTTTTAAAACTCAGGATGAGCTGAATGGAGAAAATACTCTTCGAAAATTACTATACAACAAAACTGTGTTCCTTAAAATCTGAATAGGTTCAGTCTTCTGTCTTCTAGGAGTGACTATAGATGCTGGAAACTAAGGGAAGGCAAATTAAATTCTGAAGAGCTGTGTTACTAAATTGTACTCCTTCAGGTCTTAACTGCACAAAATACTTTGAACTGTCTCGTAAAGTATAAAAAGAATTTTAAATTAAAAAAAAAGGTGAAGATATGTAGGTGCCTTTTTGTGTCACGTCTCTTCTGCCTTTTTTTTTTTTTTCCTCATATAGTTTCATGTGATCTGCTAGGATTGTATAGAATTTGTTTCTCAAGGAGGCTGTTGATCTTTCATCACGACCTCCAATAAGCAAATGATGTCTAATGAAAGATATGTATTGTATTCACTGTTTGACTATGTCTAGGGATGTACTTGAACGTGTTGTAGGTAACCAGAAATCAAGCTGGTATAATGGTAAGCTTGTAAATAGGGAATAGGAGCAAGAAAAAGATGTAAGGAATAGGGAAGGCAGATGTGTGTCTTTGCTGATGGCGGGATCTCATCTCCTTTTATCTTGTTTAGGTTTCTCCTCTGCCTCCTACTTAAAGGTCCATGTTAAAACCCACCACGGTGTTCCCCTTCCCCAGGTCTCCAGGCACCAGGAGTCCATCCCGAATGGGGGAGCAGCATTCCACTGCGTCAGAACCTATGGCATCAAAGGCAAGAGACTTCCTGCCCTGCACCTTGCTTCTCTGTGCAGAACTTGGTGTTGTGGGATGTTGGGCTGGTCCTGAGAAAGGGGAGGGAAAGAGGGAGGAAGGACAGGAAAGATACTAGAAAGAATCTGAGAAACATGCAGAGAAATCACATAGCATGCAACATTTGTCATCACTTAGCTGATTTAATAAGTCTGGGGAAAAGCTGTGTTAGTTCATCTTGACCTAGGAGCAGTGTTTGCATTTTACCTGAGTGCTGCATATCCTTGACAAGTCCATAGTCCACTATACTTGAATTTTGTGTCAACCAAGCCATGTTTCTGATTTCTAGTGAAGGCAGAGAGAGAGCCCGAGAATGCAGCCATGAAACCATGGTTGTTTTCTTGGCCAGGAAAAAACAGCATGCTGGGTTAAACAAAATCTGTGCCAATGGAAAGCTCCAGTTGTGGGTTTTTTGTTGGTTTTTTTTTTTGCTATTGAAGTCCTTGCAGAGTTACTACAGAAGCCCTTTGGTTCTGGGTGGTGTGCTGATTTAACAAGAGATTTACTCAAGCTCAGTGCTGTATTGATTTCATGCATATCCTGCTTGCTTCATAATACTGAGTCCCGAGCAAATCTGCCTTTTGGGTAGTGCCAAGTGGGTCTTTGGTCTTTCAGAGTTAATAGTTGATACAGCTTATTTGTATTCAGACACTTGTTTAGGGAGTATGTCTCATTTTCCCACGCTCATTCAAATAAACTGAGCAAAAAGTGTGGATAAACTTTCTTGACATAGTGCCAAAGGAGAATGAGGAACACTCCAGACATACATCAGACTTTGCCAGGATATGTATCCAAATGGCTTAAAATAGTGTCTTAAATTCCTGTTTTTTCACTACGCTGTTTAAGGATGGATCAACTCCAGCTAATAAAGTTCACTTCTAACAGTGTTGTGCTTAACTTTTAAAAAACAGCTTCTCAAGATTAAATGGAGTTGCACCTCAGAAGCTTCAGTAACTCACTGCTGCTTTGTTGAGCGAATGAGTAAAATATCTCCAGATTTCTCTACATTTTTCAATAGCCTTAGATTAGATTTCTAGGCTCAAAGTATCAGCTATGTTTCATAAGTGTGGAGAGTGACTTGTATGGTTGAAAATCCATGCTTCCACCTGAGATATAATCTTTTTGGATTCAAAATCCAGAGACACATAATAGATGCATTCAGTATTACAAGTCCATGATGAAAACTTGGATGTTGCTCTGATAGCAGCCCTGTAGTTTGTAGAGGGTCTGTGCTAGAAGGCTTCAGAATTTGGGGAATGTCAGTGTTACATGTGAATCATTCCATCATGACAGACATTACTGAATCAGGTGATAAACAATATAAGCTATTTGAGTCCATGTTAAATAAGTGCTTTGGCAAATGAGTTTCTGAAAACTTTTTTCTTTTTCCCATAGAAGGACAGAAATGTTCACATTCGGACCCGATTGAAAGTTCCGATTCATATGGAGATCTCTCTGACACCAGTGACCTCAAGACTCCTGAGAAACAGAGCACCAATGGGTCCTTCTCGTGTGACATGGCAGTCAGCAAAAACAAAATGGAGACGGAGGCAGAGAAGAAGTACCCTTGCCCTGAATGTGGCAGCTTTTTCAGATCGAAGTCTTATCTGAACAAACACATACAGAAAGTTCACGTCAGGGCCCTCGGTGGCCCATTGGGGGACCTTGGTCCTGCTCTGGGATCCCCCTTTTCACCCCAACAGAACATGTCTCTTCTGGAGTCATTTGGGTTTCAGATCGTCCAGTCAGCATTTGCATCATCCCTAGTGGATCCAGAGGTCGACCAGCAACCGATGGGGCCAGAGGGAAAATGAGATCAGTTTGACCTTAAAGCAAAGCAGCAGTCTGGCTATAATGATAAGATGCTGTGAATGAAAGAGGAAATAATGAAATTTGGTTCTATAGCTGCAATTTTTTTTTTTAATTCATTTTAGCTTCCCTCTTTGTCTCATGCCCTACCCCACCTTTAAACCTTCACTGAGGAGAGGGAAAAAATGCTTCTTAGCTGATGAATTACAGAAGATGGTGACCTTGGTTAGGAGACGTGATTTAAAACACCAAGTGGAGCTATAAAAGTTGCAGCCAGTGTTTCATCATGATCTTCTAGAATAAAAAACGAGCACTGATCTGAGAATTAGAGACAGTCGTAGTAACCAAGGCACGTGGGGAGCTACAGCTACAAGGAGCTGTATTTTGTTTTCTCTCTTCTTCCTATCTTCCCTAACCCACCCCAGAAAAACACAGTAAGTTTTGAAAACAGACCCATTATTGACTGAACATAACGTTAAGAAAAATGTCCCATGGTACCTAGCAGGTTACAATGCAGTTGTCCTTTTAAAAACAAACAAACAACAACAAAAAAAAAGAAGGTGAGAGAATTTGAACCCCTTCTACCGTTTGTGAGGCTGTGAGTGCTGCAGCAGGACATAACTGCTGAGTAAAATCACCATTCAGAACAGGTTGTTTTTGTTCTTTTTAACCATTAAACTTGCTGTCGGATTTTTAATTCTCTATTATTATTATTTTAGGACCTGTTGTAGTGAATTGCTACTGAAAAGCCAGTCTAAGGCGAGACACAGAGCACTCTTAAAGCAGCAGTCACATTAGGGTTAGTATTCTTTTTTTTTTTTTTTAGGTGTACCATAATTAATAACTTGGCTAGTTGGTTGTTTTTAAGTCTATGAAAGAAATAGTTTTATGGGGGAAAAAAAAAAATGGAAAAAATACCATTGCAGTCTGGTTGACTGGTGCTCATTTTTCATGTGGGACCTGGTACCGGTGTAAACACAATCAGCTATCGGGTTAACACGATGTACCACTGACTTGTTTAGTGTGAATAAACCCAGGGGTTCACAGAGTGGTTTTGATTTAATTGGATTGGACTCGATTAAAGAAGTTAGTATGTTACTTTACATCCCCTTGTTTGGTCTGGTTTTTGAACAATTTAGCCACCTGTCCAAAAGGTGTGCAAATGAGAACCAGTAAATATGTTGTTAATCCCTCTCTCCATTGTACTGTACTCTCAGTGACCTGGGCTTTTTGGCTACAGTCTTGCTTTCCTGATCTACCTTTAGTCAGGTTTGCAAAAGCCAGTCTTATTCATTTATTTTCCAAGAAAGGTTTCTACTATAAGAGAATGTGAACAGTAGATCTCTGAAAATCAATTCAGAAGGCGAAGAAGCAGGGTTTCTAGGCTGTTTGAGGTTCTGTTTAATCTGAATATACCACTTGAGCAGAAATAGTGTCCTTTCTTGGTCCTCCCTCTTCCCGTGTAATTTTTTCAAGTTCTTTATGTAGCAAATCCAGATATAAATGTTATTTAATCAACTAAACACAGGGTTATGAGTTAGGAATACTCCTGAGTTCTAATTATGGTTCTGCTATTGATGGTCAAAGTTGCATAGACAGCAGCATAATCATTGAATTAATTTCTTGATTTCCTATATGTGAGAAGTTTTTTCTATATCACTTAATTGTTGTGAGGGTTAATGACCAGAGGAGTGATTTGGCAAATCAAGCTCATGTGTATGCACTGAATGTTTCTAGAAAGGCCTCTTTGAAGAGTCCAAGTTCCACACCAAACTTGCACTCTGTGAAATAATAGTTGTCCCCATCATTAATGCAGTGCTAGTTCAGTATAGACCACCACAGACTAGGATCTACATCCTCTCTAAGAGGTATGTTTATATGAAATGAGAAGGTAGCCACAAACTGCTCATATAGCACTCTGCATTGCCCAAGTGCTCCCAATCCAAACTCAGCAGCTAAAACAAGACACCATGGGATACAGTCCTATTTTGGTTTTGTGCTTGAAGTGTAGAGCCCTTTGTAAGTATAAAGGTTTTAGAATGCCATTCTAAACTCTACAGACTTAGAAACAGCAGCTTCTCTCTTATAAGAAGCTACTTTTTTAAGCTTGCTCTTGAGTATTTTAAACTGAGGTTGAATAATCAAAGACTTTCTCCTTATAGTACCAGTGCTTTCTAAATTTGCATGTTTCATGCAAATATGGACTTGACATTTTGCTATTAATCTAGGTTGGAAGGCTGAATGACACGCTCTTCTCCAGTCATCCTCCCCCAGAATCCCTGGAATAGGTGTGTCTCATCTAAAAGGGAAAGAAAAATAAACAAAAAAAACAACACAAAACCCCCTTAAACTAAGGTGTACTGATAAGCTTATTTGACAAGTAGAAACAGGATGTTTCAAGAAGGTAACAAAATCTAGATTATGTTGAGACAGCCCTGTAAGCTGCCAAGCAATTCAAGATAGAGCAGACTTTCCACTCAGCATAACAATTCATTAGAATTAACAAATGTAAGTGCAGTCATGCTGACTTGGAGGTAGCTGGTATTTAGTGATGAACAGTAAGCCATGAGGAAGATTTCTGTAGAATTGAGGCTGTGTTATGAAAGATACGCAAAGTTTGTGTCCTCAGTGTTCTTAGCACTTGGAGAACACACGGTAGTCATAAAATCCATTTCCAGAATACAGGTTATTTTTATCCTAGTTATTGCTCCACTGACTTTACTGTTATTGGTGAGTTGAATTTTGGCACCATGTGCATTGGAATTTCATTTTGAAAGCTACAAATTTTGGCCTGATGAAACTAATGAAAAGCCTTAAGCTAAAAAGGAAACCTAAAACACCGTGCGTTTTGCTTGTCAAAGAAAATGCTTACTAAGTTGTCATGAATGAATTGAATGAAAGCTATTTAATTCTCAGTCTAGTGAACAAGGAAACAATTAGGCAGTAAGTTAACAATCCTGAAATGACAGTTCTAGATCATTCTAGTGTAAATGGGATTTTCACCAACACGCAGATAAGTGCAGACAAGACTAACATCTTCAGCAGAAATGGATTTTGAGAGCTCTCTCCTGTTTTGGAGGCATATTATTAAGTTCTAAATAGGAACTTATGTGCAAATTCTACACTTTGGGAAGTGTCTGCTGCTCGTAGATCATAAAAGAGATCTAAACAGAAAACTCAGCTTCATCAGTTCAGGGTTCAAAGGGAAATACTTAAATTGCCTCAAGCTGCAACCTCACTTAGATTGTTTCTATTACATTTTTAACTGACATGTCAGTGTATAGATGATAACTATCTTTTTTGTTATTTGCTAGGACTGCAATCCAGTGTTGAAGTCAGTGACTGCTCTGCAAAGGAACTTCAGTTAATACAAATTCTGATAATCAGATCAGTAGTACTTCTTTATATTATGGGAGTGCTTAAACCCCTCAGCTGTGGTTCAGACCCTTCTGTATTAGGTATGAAAATATCTTCAAACATTTATAGTCTAGATATTAATGATAGACAAGAAAGGAATAGATGTTAGCATTTCATAAATGAATGAATGAAACTGAGTTGAAACACTAAATGCATGCTTGAATGCTGTGTTGAACGCAGGAGCTCAGTCTTATCACTAGGCTTTTCTTTTTGCCTAAAGTAAGTTATGTCCCCAACAAGTGCCAGGTGAAGCAATTTAATATGAGTTTATTCTATACCAAATTACATTAAGTCACATCACCTTGCATTTGCCACATTCTAGGTGTCTGCAAACTGACTGGTGTGACTTATCTGGTGCATGACAATGTGATGGCATGTGAGCTCTCTATCTTAAGTGATTTGCCCATGATAATGTGGGAAATTGATAGCAGAACCAGAAACTGAACTCAGATTTTCCTTCTCTCAATCCAGTGCCTTAACTATCATAGGTCAAAGTATTATGGGGGGAGGTGTCTTTTGTTGTTTGTTTTGGTTTTTGGTTTTTTAAACCTAGAACTGTAAGATGGTGAGGAGTTGGTCTTCATTCCAATCTTTTGAATAATTGCAAATGCCCAGTCACAGTTTTAGACCCATTTGAGTGCCAGTGACTTAGGGAATGTTTGTTATTTCCCGAGTATTCTCTGAGATACTGTTTTTCCCTTATCTGCTATCAGCAGTAAGGAATGACTTGACTTGAATAGAAAAGCTGTGTAACTGAATGTCTACCTAATTCAACTAATGGAATTGATAGTATGAAATCTAACCTAGATTTTGTAGGCTCTGTTGTAGCTTTAGTGTCTTGTTTTTGTTTTGTTTTGTTTTGTTTTCCCGAAATCTTTGTTCCTAGAATTCAGTATTTGAATTTTTGTCCTGAGTCTGGAGTGGGGTTCCACTTCCAGCTTAATTTTTTTTAAGGTGCTTGCTTGAGGAAGTAGATGCCAAAGTAAATTTCAAAGGAACTCCAGACTTCAGTGTTGGAAGAACAAATGGAAAGTGAGAGCTTTCTCTGGGTTTCATGAGAGATGAATGGACAAAGGAAAACACAACTATCAAAATTTTATGTAATGAAACAGGAAAGGCTTTTCTGTATCATCCACAAAAACAGAAATATTTGTGATGGTTCAGGGTGGCAGAAACTCTGAGAGCAAGTGCCAAACAAAACCATGGAACACGTTGGCTTTTTCAGCATTATGAATATACCTTAACAGCATTATGAATATCTTAACATAAATTAAGCCAGCTTTATATCATTCACCTTTTGCATGGGCACAGGACATGAGTTTTAATTGAATAGAACATAAGCTCACATTGAATCTCTGAGCTTATGCTCTCAGTTCCAACCCAAGAGACAAAACAAATGAGCAAAGAGGGAAAAAAAAAAAAAAGAAAGAAAAAAAAGGAAAAAATTGAAAAAGAAAGCAGATTGTGGAAGATGCCCCTGTCTACTGATTGAGTCTGGCTTTTTATCCTGTATGAGATTTTCTAAATAAGAACCGTCAGCCGTTGTGAATGAGCCTTTGGGAATAGATGTGGCTTTCAGCCCAGTCTGCTGCTCTGTGTCCCTTTAAGAAAGCTATGTGTTTAGGAGCACTGAGCCTTGGACAGAGAGGGAGGCAGTGGCTGGGCTGCAGCCTGAAGCCACTCTTTACTGTTGCAGAATCATCAGCAGCAGCAACAGCATTGGCAGAATGTTTTTCTGCTTGCTCCCTTGATAGTTTCACCCCATACATTCCTTTGCCAGTGTGTGTACCTGTTCAGATACACAAACAGTTCTACAGATTAACAGTGCTACCTGTAAAACAAACTGGAGAACTATTTGGCTAAATAGAAAAAAAAAAAAAAAAGAAGAAGAAGAAGGAAAAAAAAAAGACTATAAGATTATGACATAACTACAAAGTCCTGCAGAATAGGAGCAAGAACCCTGGCTACAAGGAGTTGTGGGGATGGCTGGAATGGTTAAAGCATGCTAGTGGAAAACCACAGTTGTTTGCTCTGTGGTAGTGGGTAATGACTGCCTCTTTGTAAAGAATTAACACCTTATGTCATCTCTGGCCTCTTCCTGTGTTTAGTTCCCATATGAAAAATGAGATGATGATAACCTTGAGTAAGAATGATTCAAGTGCCAAACTGTCCTGCACAATAGTGCTACTTACCTGCTACGAACATTTGGCCCCACTGACTCCAGGCATGATGCAGAGTTAAGCATCCGGCTATATTCTTCCCAAAAGGTGAAACATCTAAACAAATTTAAAGACTGCCTGGTGTTATTGATCTGCTCTCAGGGTTTATGTGAATGAAGCTTTTCCTGGGTGGCTTCTCTACTTGTACTGCAGTTTTGGAGACTGGGGAGTGCTCTGAGCCTGAAATGTGCCGAAGGAAGGAGGTAACTGGTGTCTCACTGATGTTCCAGTGACTCCCTCCTAGCTCCTGGGTTCCATGTGGACCATGGGGTCACTTCAAACAGCCACTGGCAGCTATAAGTGCTCTTGAGCTTCCTGCAGCCACATAGTGAGTGTGGGTAAGTGCTTTTGTAATAAATCAATCTCATTCCCGCTAATAGCTTTTTGGCTGCTGTGTCTACAAACTGGTGCCTTCTCTAGGCAACTTTTACATGCCCTCTGCAGATTTGTCAGACTGACTGCTGGCTCTTAAATAATCAACCAAGTCTTGCACTTGGGATCAGAATTTCTCTTCAGTACTGTTGTAATCTGAAAGTTTGCAGCAATTAGTGTTAATACACAGTGTAAGAGAAAATAAAAGGCTGTTCTCAGATGTCCTGTAGAGCAAACAACCGAAACACAAGTGTGGGGATGAGCCAGGAAGACTGGCATTTTTCCCTGGCTGCATGCTGTGTGGACAAGACAGTGCCTTGGAAGGGAAGGAGCAGAAAAGTTTGCCATTGGCTCTGATGAATCTCAATCCTGCTTCTACTGAAGTTGTTGGGAATCCTCCCATTATCTTCAGTGTGAGCAAGAAAGGATCTTAGGTGAGGATGGATGACTCTTTCCCTACTTGAATGAAGTTTCTTGCCTATTTATGGGCCTGCTTCTATTGAAACCGAGCCTGTTTTAGCCTTTTGGGTTCTTAGGGACCTGTTTGTATAAAGCAACTTACCTACCTATCTTTTTTTTTTTTTTTTTTCTATTGTGTGTATTTTTTGTATGTTCTGTTGGAAGGTGAAGCCTCTGTAGAAGGGGATGCAAAAACTGGTTTTTAAATAGTAATAAACCAAAAGAGAATTAAACTCTGCAGGCTGCATGCATTCATTTCCTGGAGATGGAGAGCAGATATCGTGAGTATCCAGAGACAGCCAGTATTTCTCATATCTCCAAATCTTCCTCTTTCCAGAGACAGTTTCTGCCTTGGCAGATCCCCACATGGAAACAGGTAATGTTATCGGCAGGTTGCAACATTGTGTATCAGATGGTCTTCTTTTGACCAGGAAGTTCTTTCTCTGGGTCTTTGTGATGAGATTGCTTTCATCCTTTTAGCATATCTGGATGGAGTAGCAACTATCTGTATGAAACTTGGGATCGTCCTTACTCGGTATGTGGAAGATAAGATAGTGAAAAATGAAAAACATATAGGGTTTTTATTTTTGCTATGCTTCTCACTGGCCTACCTCATTGCTGGGTCTTCAGTCAAATGCAGTGTTCCAACTCAACACTGTCATATTCTAAAGACTTCAGCAAGTACTTTAGCGAAGTATGGGATGAAACTTTATTAATCCTTTGTTCCTTTCTACTCCTTTAGCCTCCTTGTGGTTTTTGCCAGTTTGAGCCCTAATTTTCTAAGAGAATGGCAAACTTCAGACCAAAACAACAAAGATTTGCCCTATACTGTAAATATACTTAAGTAACAGGATCTTTGCTTTTGTAAATAGACTTTTAAAAGTCCATGTGCATTTATAAGAGCCATGAAGGAGGCTGTCCTTGCATGCCAATGCCATGTGTGCAATCCACAGAGAAAATAAAGAGGTTTTCCATTCTACACAGAGAAGACAGGGCAACTTCCCAAAGCAAACACAACCCCTCCCACAGCCTTCAGGCAAACACCTGTGGAGAGAGAGGTCTTTCACTGTACCTATGTGCCAGTGGTTTTAGTCTTTTTTTAGGTCAGCTAAGGAAAATAAAATCCAGAGGTGAGAGCCCTGCACTGTAAATGTCTGTGAATCCTGCGCTTTTATGAGGAAACACTGGTAGTTCTACTGAAATGTTTGGTCTTTGCTCTTAGGTTGAATTACAAAGACTATTCTGATCACAGTCCTAAAACCCTAGCTAGATAAGAAAAAGATTTTTGTTTTCTTTTTATATGTACAAGTTTATGACCTCCCTGGCTTTATGTTGGCAGGAGATATGGGAGTTGCTGTGCATTTTAAACATGGTGTGTTTTCCAAAGGAACTGGAATTCTGGTATGTTTAAATGCAGCTCTGCACCCTCGTTCTTCTCACAGTGAAAGCTAACTCTGAATTTGATAATATTTGATTACTGAAGTTTAAACAGCAATTTTGGACTGTCAATTCTGCTTGACTATGAAATGTGTTCCCATGGTGAGTGAGGGGCACTTAAACAGTTCTGTCCAATTCACTGGAAGTTTAATGACTGTAACCTAAACAAAAATCTTTGTTCCATTTGCCTAAAATCTCCATACATCTGATTCTGCTTTTTTCATGCATCTCACCTGTAGATAACCTGCTATTTTTACATCAATATTTTCTAACCAATAAGAATGTGGGCTTAGCTGACTGCTTAGCTTTGCTAGTTACTGCTGTGCACACCACAGAATTAAGAAACAGAAAAGCTACAAAGGTACTTTAATACCTTAAAAAAACCATACACAGCACATTCTCGTATGTTTCTCTCTACATTCATGTTTATTTGTGCTCTTAATCTAAGTCAGCACTACACAAGTATAACTGCCTTCTGTGACTTAACTAGTATTAATATGGCAAACTGGCAGAAGCTTGCCTAAGGTCAAACAACAAATCATATAAGAATTTAGAGTAAAGCCTCTTCTTCACTCATAGGCCTGCGCATTCTCCAATTCCATTCATCTACCCTTAAACATACATGCTCTGTTTTCTGTCAACAGCAGCCTGCATTTGTAGGAAACAGAATAATAGTGTAAGTGGGATCTAAAGCCTCTTCAGCTGTTCTATATTCCTAGCAGTATCTGTCCAGTTTTAAGGTATCTTGCTAAGAGACACAGTCATTGGGAAAATGCTGTGTGTGATCCATACACTGATTTCAGAATATGCTAGGGGAGAGACTTAAGAGCCATGATCCAAGCTAAGACCTTCACAACATCCCCAGTGGACCACTGTGAACACATACATCTGTGTGCAGCTGGGTCTGACAAAACCACTGAGGGAATTGTGATAGGGCCTTGTGCAGTTTGTCACAAAAAGGACAAAGGGGTGTTGCTACTAGAGAGGACTCAGTGTGTGAAATTTCTTGTCAGTGATTATTGGGAGTATTTACTGCTAATCTCAGCGCAAGAGAAGTGTAGCTGCACTGCTCCCCCAGTAAACAATAGGTCCCAGATTGCCCTCCTGAGGCCTCTTTCCTTTTATTACAGCCCACACAGAAAGCTCATCTGAGAAGGCACTTTGAGTAAGTAGAGCAAACCCTGAACCAGTCTGAACCAGTTCAAATATCACATATGGTTGTTTTGCTTCTGCAGACTTCCTTGTTAGTCCTTGGAGGCTGTGGCTGGCATTTACTTAGCAATAGCTCATGCTGTCAAATGGAAGGGGGAGGGGAAGCCTCTCCTTGAACATGTCAGCAGGGGGATGCAACAGTGCAATCAGATATTTCTATTGCTCCACACTGACTCCTTTGTAGTGACTGTCTCTGTCTCGATTTTTAGTTATACTCAGCTGATGATTTCATGAACTCAACATCCGATCCGTTTGTTCCAACCCCAGTGTGTTTTTTTCTATGCAGATTGTTTCTAGGCTAGGAATAAAACGTATCTGTTTCTGACCCCTACGTCACTGATTACAGAAGGCTTTTCACAGGTGAGACCCACAGCTTTTTTTATGATCCAGAAACAACAGAAGAGTTAAAAAAAACAACAACCACTTTTGTTGGAACTATAAGTATTTAATAGTATTTGGTGGCATTTGATATTTACAATTTTAAGCTTTAAACACAATTTGATCTAATACTCTTTTCATGATAGAGGAGGCCTAAGTTTACTATTTTAAGGATCACAATTAATGAAGTAAGCAGAAAAATTGGAGAAGTGATGAATTGGAATGAAGAAGACTCTGAAAAAAAAAAGAAAAAGAAAAAAAAGAAAAAGAAAGAAAGAAAACAAAACAGTTTTGATGGCAAACATATATATATACAATTCTGATTCACCCCAAAAGAAGAAATAGTTATTGATAGGGATGTGCCATGTGCCTTGTTAAAAGAAAGGCAGTGGTCAGTGTTCTCTTTTAAGCAATCCATTTGTCTAGAAAATAATAGATTATAAAGGTGGTTTTGCTTATTCCCCTTATTTAGGAAGATAAAATGATAAAGCGTATTAGTATTTTCAATGGGAAAATTTATGAACTTTTGTCTAGAAAGATGTGAACATTTTTGGCTGTGGCCAGAGCATGGGGGTGGGTTTGATGACTTCTTGCAAAGTCCTTCTAGAACTGTATCTCTGCAGTTGCCTCCCTGTGTAGCATGATGTGCTACATGTTATTTTCCTTGCATTTTTCCTCTCAAAGAAAATCTTCCGTACATTTTCATTTTTTTTTCCACAGGTGAAATATGTAAAATAAAAAAAAAAGAGCCCAGTTGAGAGGCAGGACAGAGAAAGCTGACATTGAAACCTGCATCAGGCAAACAGCAGAGAAGGTACCAGCTCATAGTT